TACTACTACTACTACTACTCTCTCTCTCTCTCTCTCTCTCTCTCTCTCTCTCTCTCTCTCTCTCAACCTATTATTACCTTGTGAAAATTGATATTGTCATCGAAAGGAATTATCGCTGCCAAGCCAGTCGATCGCAACCATGTGATCATGTTTCGACAAACCGGTAGCAAGACAAGCGCCATGTTAAGCTTTAGGGTCTCAGCTCCACCCTTAGACATGCACAGGCAATACCCCATCACCATGAAAGCCTTCCTTTGCCTATATTGCAAGAATTTCCAAGCAAAAAGCCCAGCCATTACAGTCACCCATAGAGCCACAACCCAAGCTCTCTTCCAGTTTTCATCAAGGAAGTACTTGGCCTCTTGTGAGAGCTTTCGTATGCGGCTCCTCTTTGAAACAGAGCTCAAGGCTTGGCTAAGGTTTTGGCTGTAACCTGTGTACCCGTCACAAGAACTTGGTGCTCGCAGAAGCTCTTCGAGTAGTGATAGCTGCAGCATGAGAGAGGAGACACTGTGAACTTTGAGAGCTCTCTCTCTGCTGTCACAGAGAAGAAACTAGTGTTTGAAATATCGAACCAGCCTTGGAAACCCACCAAGGGCCAGGGCCGGGTCCGAGTAATCGGTAAAACGGCCAGTTGAACTGGCCTAACTGGGCAGGTCCCGGACAGTGCAAAAAGTATTAAAAAAAATTACAAAAAGAAATTCAAAAAATATATAAAAGATATAAAAATATATTTAAAACATGATTAAACAAGCGCATCCAAATGAACTTGAAAAATATTAAAATTCTGGATTTAAAAAAAACAATTTGTGCCCCAAGGTATTTTTGAAATTTTCTAAAAAGTATCGGAAAATATAAAAATAAATATTCATTGCCAAAACACTTTCCAAACTTTGTCACAAGGATAAAAAATTCAAAAACACATTATAGAGAAATTCCTTATTTTTTGGAAATTTATATATATTTTTTGAAAATACCCGGACCAGCTAAACCGGACAGGCTATTGACCGGTTCTGGTTTGACTGGCCTGTCCGAGTTGGACCGGCCAAGATTGGAAACACTAGAACAAACATCTATCTCTCAGAAGAAGAAGATGGGAGTACCTCAATGTAGCCACGGTTATTAGGATCGAGTTCTTCCATGATGAGGGCGGCATATTCTTGGGCCTTTTCCTCTAGCTTGGAGAGCTGGTTCACTGAAGCAGTAAGCATTATTATTTCTCTCACCTCCTCCTCCGATATCATCCCATCGGCGTTCTTATCGCACCTGCGGTGATTCATTCACCATGCAACAATATGCCATGGCTTTTCCACTTAGTACTACCTCTATTGTGAAATACAAAATTATAACTATGATCCAAACCCCAGTTAGTTGGAAAAAGGTTTCGAAGGTGATAATCCATATAGATTGGCGGTTTATAAGCATCATGAAATACGAAGAGACACTAAGACATGCCATTTCGGTCATGTACTTTGTGACCAAATACCAAACTTTTCTAAAGTGGTACTGATCATCTTATACTTTTCCCTTGCACTCCAATTTTTTGGGGAAATTCACCTAGGGATACAAAATAATTTTTGGAATAAAAAGATGTCCATATTCTTGGGATATTTTTAAAGTGTGGTTCAAAAATTTTTTTTTTTTTATTCTTATTTCCCTCAGTTCTAAATTCTAACATTTGAATTGCCCAAACATAAAGAAAAACAGGAAAAAAATAAAGTGTTTTGGTGATTCAAGGAATCAAGAATCATAATATCAAACCACCCCAAACACAAAGATTAAATTTTGGGTAGTTCACAAGTCTAATATTCGAATTACCTACAATATAAAAAACTAATTATTTGGGAGATTCGAAAGTAGCACTTTCCGACTATAAAAACACAAAAAAAAAAGGAAAAAGTGTTTGAGTGATTTGGAAGTTGGAATTTCGAACCAAAAAAAAAACTAAAAAAAATATGGATGTCATTGTAAAATGTATTAAAATATAGACCTTTTCGATTCTAAAAATTATTTTGGTCCATGTATATCTTTTTTCGTTTCAAATGCTTAAACCTTTTCCTTGTGTAGTTAGGGGCGTAAACTGGCCGGGGCCAGCCTGGAGGACCCGGAAGGTTCGGCTGCCTGTCATGCAAGACTGGGCCAGGCAGTGCCAAGCCTTGGCATTAAGGCCCAATGGGCCTTGTCTATGTGATTTTCCAATCAATAAGGCACAAATGGATGGGGCCAGCCCGGCAGGCCTCGAAGGCCCAACCTAACACATGCCAGGTTCACACCACTTGGCAGCGCAGTCCAGGCGGGGCTTTCATGCCCCATTAATTTAATGGGCCAGGCCTCACTTAGACCCCTTTGTATAACGAATTATTGTTTTCTTTTGGGCCCAAATATAACTCATATAGTCATCACAACCCCATGACCATTGAGGATATCAACAATATGGTTTAAACGGTAATGGAGGGGATTTGTCCCACCCCAAAAACCAAATGAATCAAGTGTACGTCCCATTTCTCTTTATCACCATTCAACCAATTGATTGTACGGCAATAAACCACATGATAACGGTTACAACTGGATCATTTTTCCTTCTTTTATTTTTCTTTTTGGTAAATTTAAATACCAGGATTGCATAACACATCCACTTTCTCTAAACAAAGGTCACAAATATCCATGCAAAATCGGATGGTTGATACGTGACATTTCTCTATACGAAGTTTGAAGCATTCTTTTTAGAAATAAAAGATGTCAAACCTCATACTAGGAAAGTGAGGTGCACCTGAAAAAACCCTCTAGAAGAGAGTGCTCGTTAATTGATCATCTCAGCCTTGAGATGTATAAATAGGAAGAAAAAATGAGGATTTCAAGTCCTAAAAATAAAGCATATTGTAACAAGTTATATTGCTTGTCTATTTTCAAGATTCTCAAGTATTTATATATCAGTTCGATCAAGTTAAAAAAAACGGATCGATGACCCAGATTGCCCAATTAAAAAACTGCTATGGTAGGCAGGTTAGCAGTCTAGATCGGCAATACAATCGAGAGAATCGGCCAATAAAAAAATTTTAAAAAACAATAGAGAGAGCCAAAAAATTGAAAAAAATTAAGAGATAAAGTTGGAGCTGATTCTCTAACAAAATCTGACAGTTCTATCAGAGAACCGGCCGATTCATGATATTTTGGTAGAATCAAACTGGCCCAATAGCTTTGGATCCAAACCGGCCGAATCCGGTCTGTTTCGCCTATTTTCTAAACACTGGTTCGATCAATACCATTTTTTATTTTTTAACACAAATTGTTGAATGGAACATCCCCAACAACAATGTTCAAAATCCGTGCATCAAAATTGTGACTTTGAGAAGATGCTTGATTTTGAAATTCTTTTAGGGCCCGTTTGCCTCATTGGATTCAGATTTCCAAGAGTCCCTTTTCTTGAAAAAGTTGGGTCACTCGTGTTTGGTTCGCTTAGAATTGAGATTTTCATGGGATTCTTGAATGCTCATTTTGAGCCTAAATTTTGGAAATCTCAATTCCACCAAAATAGGTGGAATTGATAATTCATGGAAATGATCTATTTTGCTGGTGAAGAATAAAAAAACATTATTAAAATTTTAGAGAAAGAAACTATATCAAATTTTAAAGAGAAAAAATATATTGAAATTTTAGAGAGGGAAGCTATATCAAATTTTAGAGAGAGAAAGTATACAAAATTTTTTAGAGATAAAATATACAATTTTTTTAGTGAGAGAAACTATCTCAAATTTTAGATAGATAAACTATCTTAAATTTAAAGTTTAAGAGAGATTATATTAAAATTTTAGAGAGAAACACTATCTCAAATATTAAATTTTAGAGAGAGAATATATATTAAAATTTTAGAGAGAGAAACTATATTAAATTTTAGAGAGAGGAACTACTTAAAATTTTTTAGAAAAAAATATCTCAAGACATTTAGAGAGAGAAATTATCTAAATTTCTAAATATTAGAGAGAGAGTATATTAAAATTTTAGAGGTTAAAAACTATATCAAATTTTAAATAGAGAAACTACCAAAAAAAATTTAGAGAGAGAAACTATCTCAAATTTTAAATTTTAGAGACATAAAATAACTTAAAACTATAGAGAGAGAGAAACTATCTCAAAATTTAAGTTTTAGAGACATAAAATATCTTAAACCTTTAGAGAGAGAAACTATTTAAAAAAAATTAGATTGAGAAACTATCTCAAATTTTTAAGTTTTTGGAGAGAGAAAATATCTTAAAACTTTAAAAAGAGAAACTCTATCAAATTTTAGATAGAGAAAGTACATAAAAATTTTAGAGAGAAACTATTTGAAAAATTTTAGATAAAAAAATTATCTCAAATTTAAATTTTTAGATAGCGGAAGTATATTAAATTTAGAGAAAAAAACTATTTGAAAATTTTCGAGAGAGAGAAACTATCTTAAAATTTAAGTTTTAGAGAGATAAAGCATCTTAAAATTTTAGAGAGAGTAACTATATCAAATTTTAACGTGATAAAGTGCCTAAAACTTCTTAGAGAGAAAAACTATCTCAAAAAATTTAGAAACAAACTATCTCAAATTTTAAAGTTTAGTTAGAGAAAGTACTTTAAAATTTTAGAGAGAGAAACTATATCATATTTTAGAAAAAGAAACTACCTGAAAGAGTTTAGAAAGAAAAACTATCTAAAATTGTTTAGAGAAAGAAACTATTTCAAAAATTTTATAAAAAGAAACTATCTCAAATTTTAAGTTTTAGATAGAGAAAGTACCTTAAAATTTTAAACAGAGAAACTATATCATATTTTAGAGAGAGAAACTACCTAAAATTGTTTTGAAAGATAAATTATCTTTAATTGTTTAGAGAGAAAAACTGTCTCAAATTTTTTATATAGAGAAACTATCTCAAATTTTAAGTTTTAGAGAGAAAAAATATCTCAAAATTTTAGAGTGAGAAACTATGTCAAATTTTAGAAAGAGTTTATAAAATCTTTAGAGGGAAAAATTATCTCAAAATTTTTAAAGAGAAACCATTTCAAATTTAAAGTTTTTGAAAGAGTGTATTAAAATTTTAGAGAGAGAAACTATCTCAATATTTTTAAAGAGAGAAAAAATTTGTATTTCCAAGAAAAAGATATTCTAGACGATCCAAACAGGGAGTTTGCATTTTCTTGATTTCTAGCTAATGCAATCCAAACAGGGAATTGAAATTTTTAAGAAATCTCAATTCTAGGATTGACTTTTCCCAGGATTGAAAAATCAAGGGATCCCAACGGCCCCCTAATGCACTCGAAATGAAAAAAACACCTACATCTTATTCATAAATGAAGGGTTTGCTTTCCATACTTACATTTCGAAGAATATTTTGAGTCGTGCGTCAAAGCTTTGATCTGATATCTGCTGGCAAAATTCATGGAGTTGGTGTTTGTCAATGGCATCAGAGTGTGTGCCCCTTCGTCTCACTAGAGCATCGAATATCTGCCCTGCAAACTCTTTCGAGTCCTTCATACCTAAACAAACATACATTCGGGAAGTTAAAAGATCTCCCCTCCTCTCTCTCTCTCTCTCCTCTCTCAATTCCTCCAAGTTGCAAAAATTTCCATCTATCGAGCTAAAACTAAGGCAAAATATGCTTCTCAAAATAAAAAGTAACGCTAGAAATTAGAAAATACTAAATATGAAAATGTATATTATGAGACCTGTTGATATAAAGTCGTCACAATTATCACTAACGGTTAGATTTGAAATCGGGTGGTTGAGGGAGTATCATTTTTTAGGAACAAAGTCCAAAACAAAAATTTCTTGATTGCTACGGTACACTTTTATCTCTTGGATTTGACATTTAATGATTAAAAAAAGTGATCGCGACCTCTTTATACCAAAAGTATGATGGTCTCTAGTATAAAATCCCGTTATGAAAATGAATTATATATAGGTTATGTTAAGGTACTCTCATTATGGAGTAAATTTAGGGTTGTATTAAAAAAAAATTAGACATTTATATACTCATGTTTTATACATGAAACTTTATTTAATAAAGATATTCATATGGGTAATGTCATACCCCTCATAATGACCAAAAATATTCTTATTAAAACAAAAAATACTCCATATACACAACAAGAATATAAAAGTGTCAAAAATTTGTTGATTAAAATGATAAATTACTTCATAGTGTAAGAACTCTAACATAACCTATTACATAGAACGCTAACATAACCTATTACATATTGTAAAACTATTTGTTTTGTAAAACTATTTGTTTTGTGTACAAGGATTGTTTTGTGTACAAGGAAGTCGCATATTGAATGTAAAAGCTAATGGATGAAAGTGTGTTAAAGCATTCAAAAAATTTTATTTTAGACTTATGCCTAATCATACATGTCCTCAACTACCTGAATTTAAATCCAACACTCAATAAGTGATCTTGATCCTCTTGTATCAAAAGTAAATGACCTCATTATATACACTTATTTCTTTATTTAAATATATCATTGAGAAGTAAATGGTAGATTGGTGTAACCAATTTTATGAGTATCGGTGCAAACCAACCGTCGACTTTAACGAAAACATAACACTGAACGGGCCCTATCTAGGACAAGAGGCCAAAATAAAAACAGGATTCCAATAGTTTTAACCGAGTGAGATGGTTGGCTCACCCAATTTATAGTGAAACGGTTGGTGCCATTTTACCCATCTCTTCAGGGAGACTAATGGGCTATTTACCCTAATTATTTTGGCATTTTAGTATGGAAAAGTATTGGAAAAATTACATACATATTCGTTATAATTTTCATTATTACGGCTCTATCGAATAGTTTCGGTTATTACCACCGTATTTGTTTTTTTCATGTTGGAAATTTAAAAAAAAGATGACTTTACTCTCAACAACCGAATTCAAAGTACTTTCGGTTTTTGAAGAACTAAAAATTTTAAATTTTTGGTTTTTCAATAACCGAAAAAATGTTCTCTCTTGTGGCGTATTTCTCTACCTCTCTGAAGTCATAGTTATCCGATAAAATCAAAGGGAACAACTAGTTTCATCCCCTAAATTTAAGAGAAATCTTAGGGATTATGAGATTAGAATATTAGGAGATATCGTGTGGCGTATTTTCTCTCTATCTCTTTAAAGTCATGGTTATCCTATAAAATTAGGGATCATGAACTTAACCAAAAGAACGTTGGGTGAAGGGGAGAGATAATTAAAAAAAAAAACCATTTTTACCCAGTAGAGAGAGGATACTTAGACCCATAAGAAAAAAAAAATTTGTTCTTCAAGAACCGAAAATTTCAAATTTTCGGTTATTCAACCACCGAAATTTCCCCCATTTTCTGTTGTTGAACAATCTAATGTTCAACAACCGAAAAAGGGTAAAGTCGTATTGTTTAAAAAATTTATGTTTTGACATAAAAAAAACGGACACGGTGATAATAACATATATTATTCTATAGAGCCTTAATAACGGAAACTATAACTGATATGTATGTAATTTCATGAGTTAGCAATTCTGAACCTCGCAACTCCATTTCTTCCATTCATTACAAACAATAATGTAAACTGATGGTCTTAATTATGGGTGCAGCCTGCATAGAGCTGAGGCTCTAAACAATTAAAGTAAAGCGCACCTTCAAATAATGTCGAGAAATATAGTTTTAATACTAGAAATCTACTTGCTAACCTTAAAATCTATTTTTATTTTTAATTATAAGATTTAAAGCTTCAAAAATAGCGTAGATCGAGCATATCTATGAAAAACTTAAAAATTGATGGTCCAAAACGCATTACAAGATGCACTATTTCCAAAACTCAAAATCCATTTTTCTTCTCATGTTCGTGCATCTTGATGCCAAGATGATCAATTTGAAAATATTTAAGCATCAAAACAATCACTTCTAGTGAAATTTTTGAGGTGGGCTCCAATTTGATTGTTTAGAGCATCAGCTCTAAATAAATGTTTTCCTCTTCATCCTTCTGAAAAACCAACCTTCCATTGAGGAAAAAAAAAAGAGGGTTAACTTCTAGATTATCATCAGACTCAAGAATTGAAAATGTTACTAATAAGCAAAAAAGATTCTATCTTTTCTATCGTTCAACCCCTAAACCTTTTTGACGGTATATTATTGACATCATAACTTATGAAATGATTTTAACTCTCTCTCTATAAAACTCTCTCTCTCACATTATCATCTCTCTCAAAACTCCATCTCTCTCTTTTAAAACTCAAACTCCATTTCACTCTCTTAATTTCCCTCTCTTTAAAACTCAAATTTCATCTCTTTCTCTCTCTCTAAAACTTCATCTCTCTCTCTCACGTAAGAATGTATGCTTGTGGTCAAGCTCAAGCTAAATCCTTTTATTGGTAAAATCACCTCGAAACGAAAAGAGAGAGAGATGGATGAAGTTTGAATGGGCGTGTTATTTTAATGTTTGTTTAAGTTAAAAATTTTGGTAAAAAAGATGGCGACTTTAATTTTCCATTATTAGATCTGATGAGATGCAAAAGTTAAAAATAAGAGATCGATATTTTTTTTTTTTAACAAAAAAAAAAAAAAGAACTCGCCCACTCCAATTAAAATAAAAAAAGACCACGTGTCGTCCGCACCCTAAGTTCCAGCCAATCAAGCTTCCGTGTGGAAGCCGTAATGCAGAAGCGTGGCCTTCCACAGCGCTCCTAAAAATAAGTGCCGTGGCTTCCTGATTGGGTGCGGTGGGAGCCCTCAACTTTCTTTCTTATTTGGAACATGCCCTATGGAAACATTTTGAATATGCTCTTGCTCTATGCAAAATTCTAACAATGTAGAATTTTTCTAAGTTTGAAATAAAAAAACAACGATTTTAAATATCCTCTTCATCCCATCCAAGGGAAATTCCAACAATGTCTAAAATTTCCATATTCCAAAAACCACAAATTTCCTACGAATTGCAGTAGAATCTTTCAAAAAATTCCTTGAAATGATCCTCAAATCTCTTGAAATGTGCCACTTTTTGTAAACCAAAAAAAAAAAAACTTAGATACCCAATTTCGGACAAACGAGGCACGGTCTCCAAATATCAATATGAAATATATCACAGTAATCAGAGGGTCTTAATTGAAAAAAAAAAAAAAAAGGCTCTGAGTAATCGGCTTATGGAATTTTAGTAAGAAATGAATTTATTCAAATCAAAAAAATAAAAAATAAAAAGCGAAAGAGCTGATGTCCATCGCCTTCATCAGAAATTCACAAAATGCGTAAAAAGCATCATGAAAACCCACCGAAACTTTGACGAGAAGTGCCGAAATTCAGGACGAGATTCGTACCTATACAATTGCCGAAATCNGAGCGCGAGAGCAAGCCATCTGCAGAAGCGAGCCGATCGAACCGAGCCGCCGCTGATTCCCAGAGCGTCTTAAAATCCGAGTCCTCCGTCGCCTTGCTGATAAATCTCAGGCCGTGCAATGCCCCTTCGGCTCCCGATTTTTGTCGGCTCAGCCGCTTCACACCGACGATTTTGGAGCCGAGCTTCGCGCTCGCGCTCTGAGTTATCCGCTTGAACTCGGCTTTCAGCTCTTGGGAGTATTGCTTGAGCTCTTGAGAATATTGCTTCAATTCTTGAGAGATCGGCTTCGACTTGGGCTTGGCTTGACCCGAGAGTGATTCCACTAAGAGGGGAGACTCGGGTTTGTATGCGGCATGGGTCGGGCTGCCTTCTTGCTCGATGGTGAGTTCAATGTAGTGGAGGTCCGCTTGCTCGGCGGCTCGGCGTAGGACTTCGGCTATTGAAGTGGGATTCTCGGCTTGAGCCATTCGGGGTTTCAAACTGTTTTCAGGGCTCAGAGATGCAGCGTTTTGAGGGCATTACAGTTCTCTCTCTCTCCAATTCTCCTGCTTTCTATCACTCAAATTCCAATTCTCCCTCTCACTCTCTCTCCCTCTCCAATTCTCCTGCTTTCTATCACTCAAATTCCAATTCTCCCTCTCACTCTCTCTCTCTCTCTGAAATCCAACTATATCT